ATTTAACAATGAAATACCACCTGGCCTCCAAAGCTTGAAGGACTCGGAATTAATGAAAATAGACAACGTAATCAATTATATTATGCAGAGAAAACTCACATTATATTATGCAGAAGAGACAACGTAACCAATTACAGTACGATAGAAAATACAATAGAAAATACAATAGAAAATACAATACGATGCCATATTCTGGCTTCTAGCTTCCGCTAACAATCAGATCGAAGCATAATAGACAAATTAAGCAGCCAGTCTAGGAAATTAATCAAATGAAATAGATTTATTAAAAGGCTGGTCACTAATTTTACTAAAAAGGAAAGGGGTTGGTTTATTTTGCAGTCGACTGGACAACGGGAACTTAAAGCTTTTTCTGACTCCGATTACGCAGGTTGTATAGATAGAAAGAAGTCCACTTCGGATTGGTGTGTTCGTCTTGATGACTCCTTCATTTCATGGCGTTGTATGAAGCAAGACAGAGTGTCGAAGTTTCTACTGAAGCGGAATACCGTGACATGTCAGATGTCACTTCTGAGCTCGAATGGCTAGTACGGTTACTTGGTGTTTTCGGTGTTATCTGTGAGCTTCCTATATATGCAATTGTACGTAGACAATACCGGTGCCATGAAGACTGCTAATAATCCAGTTATGCATGATCGAACCAAACACATTGAGATTCATGTTCACTATATTGGAGATATGGTTCGTAATGGCACTGTTCATCAGATTCGTTATGTTTTTGTCCGAGGATTAGATTGCAGACCTCCTGATGAAGGCCTTCACTGCGGGATGACTTTGGTATCTCTCTGAGTCTCTGTCAAATTGACGACGAGAGACCTCCTTCAATTTGAGGGAGGTTGTTGAATTATTTATTGTCCATGTACGTATAGGATTTAGGCTACCAAGTTAGGCTTTCGGGTATGAAACCTATATATACTACATGTATGTTGTATCCGACGATTAAGAGAATAAGAGAGTACGCATCTACTTTGGTCGTGGAGTAATCTCATTCATTCTAAAGGAGGAAACCACTTAAATCTCTTTGTCGTTTCTGATTCCATTTTCGAATCAGTTTCGTTTATTTACACTAGCTTCTAGGTGGTATGGAAAGAAAATGGCATTGTAATGAAATAGACAACTGGTGGCAGTTAGATCCACGCAGAATAGACAAATAGAAACAGCCGGCCGAGGAAATTAATCAAATCAAACAAACGGTTTGGTGAAAAGGGCCTCGTAACGAAAATAGATAATTGGTGGCAGTTATATACACAAGAGGGAAGAGTACCAACTACGTACCAACTGATTAGGTAATGAATGATGCATGTTTTAGAGAAATGAACTCGATCTAGTGGTTATATTTTAAAGTATCCATCACTAGCTCGCTAGTATAAAAAGGAAAGAAAGACCAACTCTTACTTAAACTGGGACTTCAAATAAAGTAAACTATCTTTAGATGTCTCAAACTTTAATGTTTGCGCCAAACCATCCAAAATTTACAAACTGACAAGAAGTACAGGAATAGCCTGAATATGAAACAGAATTCCCAATATGGTTTATGTAAGGAAGTGGTAATACCACTAATTTTGAACATATAGATCTCAGTATCGAATATCTTAAATAGTATGTAAATCACAAAAAGTAAACATATATCATCTTTATAAAAAAAGTGGTGAAGTATCATACATTGACCTCTTACAACAACTCGAGTTATTGAGATCAATACAGTCAAAATTGCCTTTTAAAATTTAAATGCTTATGGTTTTACGCTTCTAAGTCACCAAAACGCTTTCGTTTCCATATAAAATCTTTAGCGTATAAAATTATACTAAATTTCCCTTTAAAGCTTAAAATCTTACACTTTTACGCTTCTAGTTCACCAAAACGCTTTACGCTTTTACGCTTCTAGTTCACTAAATGGGTGTTATTTTCAAGAAATTAATTATAAAAAGTATAGACTTTGCTACAGTGACTTGAGTCACCGTGACTTGGAAAAAATGGTCGCCTGATCACTGATATGGTCGACCTATTTGGATAAAACAATCGACTTCTTCACTGATATGATCAACCTATTTGGACAAAATGGTAGACCTCATTGTTGGAATGATCGACCAGATGTACCATTTGTCAATGTTCAACAAACTCTCAACCTCTTCCACTAAAACGTCTTCCACTATACAAATAAAATGGTCCACCACTTCCATCAAGTGGTCTACCTCTTTTCCCAAGCGGTCCACCTCTTTCAATAATTGGTCCACCTGATGAACCATTGCTAGTGGTATCATCATATATAATTAGAGTCCAATGACAATAGATAAGCTTGGTTGCTAGTAAGAGATTCAAAATCAGTATAAAGGCTGCAAGCATAGATGGCAAGTTTCTCTAGTGATTGGTCTCTCGTAGATTTGCCATCAATGCATGAATAATAATATACTTGAATATACAAAAATTGGTTTATTGTAGTTTACATCGATTGGTATATGTGATAGTTATTGTATTATTTAAATAAGGTATATTATTGGTGAAATGTCACTTGTACCTTTTTTTAATATATAAAAGCAACACACATAAAAAGGTAGGGACATAGTTGGAAGAAAAAATACACAACAATCTCAATCAAACAATCTCACCAAAAACTTGAAATTTAACTATTAATCATTTTGAGTGATAGTTTGTGTCACATCAAGCAAACAATGCATATATTGTTTGTGCAGAAATTTCAAAAAAACGATGCATTGTGGACAATGCATGCATTGTAACTATCTCAACCAAACAATCACCAAAACCAAATGATCCCAAAGATACTCAAAAAGCAGAGTATATTTTTTTAATACAATTTTGTCATTTTCAACGTCCATAAATCTCATATCATCGCTTTTGTGGATTTTTATTGCAGAAGAGTTAAAAGAGGGTGTTTCTTTTTGTCTTGGCTTATAATCTGTGTAGGCATTTGGTTTTGGTAAGGTATTTTGTGGTACGAATGTGGTTCACTCGTTTTGTACCGGTAAATACCATTTTTGTAGTAGTAAAATATTTTTTTGTAAAAAAACCGTACCGGCGAAAACATAAAACCTTTTCGGAGTGATACCGGAATAATATCGGAAAATACCGGATAACATCATAAAATATCAACATATACTCATATGCCAATACCAGCAACCCGCAAACTATTCTACAGTGATATGTTCCTAATCAAAGTATCAATTATTTCTAATCCACAATGTAATCTACGTACATAATTTCTAATTAGGGAATCAACAACCATTTCTAATCAACAATTCCTAAGTTACAGTACACAATTCCATATGCAATAAATAATTGATGCTTAATCAGATTAAACCCTACACTTGATGTACCGTTTCGTCACTGGTCCGGTTTCCAGTTCAACCGCCGGTTAGATGAGATTTGCTAAAATTTATAAATATATGAACAATATAATGACTTTTTTCATATATCTGGGGTAAACTGTGCTAAAATGGTCGGCCAATTAACTCTCAACCCAATTATCCGGCCAGGCTATTGGACTAAACCAAGTTGACAACCTTGTTTTTGATCCATGACTGGAGTTTTGTTTATAATAGTATTTTCTTTTATGATGGTTAAAATCCAAACTCATCTAAAATTAGTATTACAGGTTATTAGATATGGGTCCGGTCTGTTGGGCGGAGAGTTCGATATTTATGTATAAATGTACCAAACTTTAAAGTAAATATGTGAAATGATCACTTTATTTTATTTATATTTGAACTTTAGTATTATATTTCATAAAGGGGTTATAATAATATTAAAAATTAATCCAAGTATTTGATTTCTATATATCCATCATTGTTCTATATCATTATTATTTCCTCACCTATGAAAAATAAATTATAGTTAAAATCTATTTCATTACTTCTAAACTATGCAACAGAAAGAAATACACTACTACAAAAGAAAAACAATGAATATTTTAGAAGCAACCCGGCCAATAGGCCGGGGTAAATAAATAAATACAAATAGAAACCTAAGACCATTTCCTGTAATGGTCTAAAATGACAAAAAACTGGGGACCCTCCATGTATTTGAAAAGGACAAAAGAAACAAAATTTTCAAAATTAAGTATCAAATTTGGCTCGCAAGAAGGAACTTGCACTTGAACCACTATGACTCAAGTAATTTCAAATTTTCAATTTAATGAAACTATCAATATGTTCACCGTTAGAAAGGGCCAAGGTTGTCAACCCGTTGGTCGACCCGCAGGTTGACCCACTTTGACTCTGATCCGGTGAGAAAAACGGGTCGCACGCACCCGCCGGGTCGACCGCCACAAGGTACCGGGTTGGAGGTCAAATTGTGTCATTTTTTTCTTTGTTTTGTGAAATGCGCCTATCTTCCGATTTTTTTTTCCGCCTAACTCAATCTTTGGAATCCTAAGTTGAACATTTGAATATTAATGTTATATAAGTGAGTGTGAATTTTCACTATATGTTGAATCTAAGTACGAAATGTTATTTTGGTGTAATATTATATGTTATAACTCATATGTTAGATGAGATTTGATATAATTTATCAGGATAAGTACAATATAATGACGCTTTCCATAATTCCGGGCTAAACCGGGCTAAAACGAGTGACCCATTAACCCTTGACCCACTAGCTCAACCGGGTCCGGGTCAACCCGCGGGTTGACAACCTTGGAAAAGGCCATGGCCCCTTTGTATATGCTGGCTCCGTTCCCTGGTAATTTGGAGATGGTCTAAGCAAATTGAGAATAGATTAAAAATGAAACTACCCGGGCCAACGGGGGTTGGAGCATAGAGTAACCTTATAAGAAATAATATAAAAATAGTTATGGCGAAGATGGATGGATGTTGATGGTAATTGGTACAGCAACTAGCAGAACCCAGAAGCTGCATGAAGGGCTATAAATATCACCATAGAAAGAAACCTTTCATATATCAACCATTCATCTGATCAACCTTGATATTCCTTACCCACCGATCGATCTCTGTTAATAATTAATCGACATGTCTCTCAACTGCAGCTCACCAATGGACCCTCGATCCCAATTTGCAGTACGACTTCCCAGAGATGCCTCCATGGACATCATCATGTCACCTAATTCCCAGAACCAGGTCTGTCTGTATGTTCCAATCTCGATCGGCTGATTTCTGATCTCTTATCTTATCTTATCTTGGCCGATTTCACTCCATCTGTACTGTAATGCATATTATTATATTCTCCTCTTTGATTGCCAGATTGGCTCTGATGGTGACCCTAAGGAGAGGATCAGGAGGTTGCTGCAGAAAGTGGAGATTTCGAGCTCCGCATACGACACCGCATGGGCAGCAATGGTCCCATCTCCTCCTGCTGCCTACTCCCAGCAGCGCCAGCAGGGAGTCGTCCCTCACTTCCCAGAGTGCGTCAACTGGATATTGGAGAACCAACTCAAGGATGGTTCATGGGGTTTGCAGCTTCCTGACAGTCGCCACCCTCGGCTTGTGAAAGACACGCTCTCCTCAACTTTGGCTTGCGTTCTTGCTCTCACCCAGTGGGGCATTGGGGAACAACTCATTCACAGTGGTATATCACCAACCAAACCCCCCTCCTAATTCGTCAATGTACGTTTTAACTACTGCATGGGTCACGGTTCGGTTAACCAAACCCAACAACAACAGAAACTGATCAACTAGTCAATTCACCAAAACTGAAAAAATAGATAAACACTTTTTTAACGGAAAATCAAAAGTATTTCTTTTTTTCGGTTTTAACCAAAAATCCAAACTGTTAACGATTTAACATCAAGAAAGACCAAAAAATAAAATAAAATAAACTCTGAAACCGAACATCAACTCCTCATTTTAACCCACAAATTAGATTTCCTTTATTCTCATTAACTACAAATGAGCTGACATCATTAATTAATTGACGGACAACATATATCAACATATATAGGTTTAAAATATATGTTCTTTTTTAATATTCCAAGTTGTTAACATCATACAATTTCTTATTAGTTATACTAATATCGGGCAAAAAGAAAACTAATTACGTCATCTCAATATTTTAATGATTTCCTTAGACCCCATCACTTCTCATTCATTTTTCTATGATTTTGGCAACACAAAATGAAATCTAAGAAAAGGAAGTTGTTGTTTTCTAAAAAAAGATTCCTGAAAACTTGATATTGAAAACCTGTTTGGGTAGGATTTTTGGTGAATCTCGAAACTGTAATATTTTTAAGACCTTAAATTGGAATGCATTTTTTTACTTGAAATATAAATGCCCGTTCATATAGTTAATTGGTACACACTTTCAATGATTGATTTTGAATACAAATCATGTTCTTGGTACTCACTCAATACACATCATGTTCTAAGTTAGTTACTAAATTAGCATACATTTTGGAAAGTTTACATTTAATTTAATTATAAATGTGTTCCAAACATAATTTGGGATAGTATTCCAAGCATAGAAATTCATTCGCATAGTAATTCATTTTGTTTGAAATGAGCTATGGTGTCAAATAGTGTATAAGGTAAAAATTATACCTAATAAAAAGATAAAAGTTAGGTAAAAGAGAGATGTTAAAGCACTAAAATAAAATTATTAAAAAACGTGGTGAAGCAAGCTTTTAACCGCTGGTGGAAACGCAACAGGGTGCGGTTGTCCAATGTTCAAAATGCCACAAAGCAAGCGGTTGACCCATGGTGGTAAGATTATACGATACGACATTTATAATATCACAACAAACATGTACTTTTGAAGGACTAATTAGCTTTCTTTCTTAATATATAGCAAAATAGATATTATTGTGTAGATTATAATTAGTGACAAAAAAAATATTTAAAATTTTGAGTTAAAACAAAAAAGATATCATATCATACCATTATCATGTCGATTGATAATATGATAATGAAAGTTTACAAGCAACACATCTTTTGAAAATCTTTTTTTTTCTTTCCAAATTATAGCGAAAATGAATATCATTATGCAAATTATAATTAATGTGCTAGCTCTTTCTGTGTAAATTTTGAAATAAAATAAAGAAAATAGGGGCTCGATTAATTAAGAAAAATAAGATCAAGACAAGGAAAAATAGACTTAATTTAACTGGGGGAAAAAAAACTCATGTGTTCTTCTATAATCTGTGACACGTACAGGCTGCCAACCAAACCAAGTCATAAAAATAAGGATGGGAAATTACAAGACAAGACTGGTCCTGACAAAAAGTGTTTTTTTGTTAGTATAGGAACCGTCACAAAATGTGTTGGTTCTTGTGTTATGCAACTAGTCCAGTATTCTTGGTCGGTCACTCACTAACTGTTTTCTTTTGTGCTAATTAATTAAAATTATTCTGAAAGCACTTGGATTTATGGAGCGGAATCGGGGTTCGCTCAGTGACCCAAGGCAGTGGGATCCCGTCGGGTTTGACGTAATATTCCCGGCCATGATTCATACCGCGGGGACCCAGAATTTGAATCTGAACCACCACCTCCTCCTCGGAAACAGAGAGTCGGCGCCGAGTCCCGCTTCAGGAGGGCGCAATGCTTATCTGGCATACATCTCCGAGGGGCTGGGAGCTTCCCAAGACTGGGGAACCACAATGAAATTCCAGAGGAAAAACGGCTCCCTCTTCAACTCTCCCTCGGCTACCGCCGCCGCGGCCATCCATCTTCGGGACGCGGATTCTCTCCGCTACCTCCGCTCCATAGTCGACCCCATGAAGGGTGCAGGTTCGAGCAACTTTTGACTCTCGAATCATTTATTGGGATTAACGTAACTGCATGCATGCATGCTTCTTGACAATTTATTTGTTCCAGTTCCATCCATCTATCCGCATGGGATTATGGCTCGGCTCTGCGCGATTGATAACATCAAGCACCTGGGGATCGACCTCCATTTCCAGGTCGAAATTAAGCAGGCACTGGATGATATTTATACATCCTGGCGTCAAGGAGATGAAGAGATCTTCCTGGACTGCGCAACTTGCGCCATGGCATTCCGAATACTGCGCCTCAGCGGATATCGCCTCTCTCCATGTACCTGCTACAATACAACACAAATAATTAAATATTGGATCCAAATCCTTGCTAGCTCAAGTTACATTCTTTCTTTCTTTCTTGTTAAATTTTTTCTTTTTCTTTTTCAGATCGATATACACAAGAATACATACATACCATACCATGCAATTTAACAACTTAATTATTGTTTTTCGCTAGCTAGCTAGGATATTTTCCAAGTTGCATTACACCTGACATTTCACGATCGATCGAGCTTACTTAGCTTGATTTGTCTATTCCCTACAGAATACGTACGTGACTCGATCTCCTTTTTCCTCGTTTTCTTAGATGCGTTGACTCGATACACGGAGGATGGTTTTTGGAGTGACACACTGGAAGGATATTTGAAAGATGAGAAAGCTGTGTTGGAATTGTACAGAGCTTCAAGGATCATGTACCATGATGCCTCTGTTCTTGAAAATCAAATGTGCTGGACAAGGGATTTCCTGATGCAATTAACTGATCCAGAATCATGTCAGAATTATGATGTAATTCACAGGCCCACACTCCACAAATCCTTTCTATCAAAGGTGAATGATATAATAACTATTTACAGATTTTAGGTTTCTCTATATAGCTGTATCATTTTAAATTCATTGTTTGGACGCACACTTGCAAGTTTTTGGTATTTAATATTTTACAACTTTTATTTTAATTTTTCCAATCACATACTATATTTTTTGTTGCTAAATTACACTTTAGGTCCTTTATAATTTTTCCTTACACTATAGAACCCGAAATTTTAAAATTTTATGAACTGGTCTAACCTTTTGCTTTGATAAATTTCAAATCACTAATTATTGATATTTTTTTTTTTTTGAAAGATAGTTGTTGATATATATTTGAAAGTCACAAGTAATACACTAGAAATGTATTTAGAAATCACCCAAATGAATTTGGTTGAAATTCAAATATCATATGTAATTAATATCCAAACACATAAGTTAGTATATTTGACAATTCAAATCCCAGATACCAAATCCAAATCATTCTATCCAAACACACCCCTTATAGTATTTGGCACTTAATATCATCGTTAGGTGATTTAGATAGATCTTAGACCATTCGAAAGAGTAACTATTACTTAAGTTGTTGATTGTTCAAAGAGGAAAAAATACAAAAACAAGATGAAAAGAGTGAGAGACAAAACACTGTACTATTGACATTAATGGGGAGGGGCTAGTATGCTAACAAATATTTTGTTGGTATGATGCTAACACTTACTCCAGCCAATAAATAACTTTTTAATTTAATTGAGTTGAACACAATTAACGATTGGCAAAGAGGTGAAGGGGCACTTTGATATTATGAAATGTTGTGGAAGAGGGAGGGGACCAGCTTGTCCTGCACATTAAATAGATGAGGGTGCACTAATTATTGGGGAACACAATAATACACACCACAAACATAATAAATCACATAAGGAAACCACAAACCTTAAAAAGGAGACCATAACATCACCACATCACAAGTTTATAAAAGCATACCACAAGTCTTATGAAGCATACCATAAGTTAGGGATGGCAACGGGTCAGATCGGCAGCAGATAGTAGCTATCCAATACCCGCACATCTAAGTTTCGAGCGGGTATCGAGTGGGTATCATATTAAGGAACGGATATCAATTCTCTCACTATACCCTTACCCACGGGTATCCGTATACCCACGGACATGTTATATAACAGATCATTAAACTCCAAAAGATTTATATAGCACCAACAACATGCTAATAAAGTATAGTAGTAGACCTTGAAAAGAAACTAAAAATACAAGAAAAAGTACTCTGCTACAATTCATTTTTCATTAAGGTTCTCGTCAATTCAAACTTATAGAAGCCCCTGAATGACTGAAATCCTTCTCTTATATCTCTACGTCTCTTGAGATGTAGTTGGCTAGTTGGTATAAAAAAATTAGGTATAGTTTACGTCTCTTAATTATATCTCCTTTATTTTTTTTATACCAATAATCCTTCTCTTAATACCAATAATCTGTCATGTAAAATACAAAAAATTAGGTATAGTTTACGAAGCGACGATTGTTTCCTACTTAACAATATCCTAAATGAAACGTTAAATAAGGCTTCTCCGTAATGACATTACGAGTTATATATACAACTGAGTATCAATATATGTATTACGTAAATCTCCGTTCTGCAACTGTTATATATATATAAAAGATAAACATATATGTTGCAAATTGATGATTATTTACTTCTTCTATAGCAAATGTGGAGGGTAGCTTGATGGAGGCAGTGATTTTGTGTAGGTACACGATGTTCTCAATTATCCCCTATATGTTGAATTGGAACCCATGGCTTACAAAAGAAACATTGAGCAGTACTTGACAGATAATACAAGGATGCTAAAATCCTCCTACAGGTCTGACATCCAATTTCAAATAAGATTTTTATATATCTCCATCTTACGACTAGACCAGGCCAGGCCAATTCCTTGACGTTGAATTAGTATTTCCCTCTTCCATTCAGTTGTGCAAACTTTGGCGGTGGGTTTTTTCTGAAACCGGCTGTGGATGAGTACAACGCCCAACAGTCATTACACCTCAAGAAATTGGAACATCTGATGCAGTATGCATTCAGCTCATTCTAATCGACTATCATCTAAGAGGCATTTTAATTGTATGTTTTAACTAACTAACAGCTTGATGCACATAAATAAATCATCATTCATGTTAATTAGGTGGCTTCAAGAGCACAAATTGGACGAGATGAGGGTTGCTAAGATGAAGATGAACTACTGCTACTTCAACAGCGTAACGACTTTCTGCGACCCTAGCCTTGCCGAGGCTCGCATTGCGTTCTCCAAATCCACTGTTCTTGTTTCTCTCATTGACGATCTGTTCGACATTCATGGAACCCGGGAGGAGCATCTCAACATTATTCAGCTGTTTGAGAGGTGCGTGTGAAAATGATAACGCTTAATTGACATGGTATCATCAGTCCCTCTACATATGTCTATCTTTCAAATATATAGCATCATTCGATCGATAACCCAGCTGATACGTGAATGCTTTAACTTGACAACGTACAGGTGGGATGTTGATCGACCCAAGGTAGACTTTTGTTCGGAGGCAGTCGAGACATTGTATTGGGCGATTCATAGCACCCTTTGTGAGACCGTCGAGAAAGCATTTCCGACACAGGGTCGAAGTGTTATGGATCACGTTGTGGAGCTGGTAAGGCGAATTCTAGCTAGCTATCTAGCTTCTTAAACCAACTGGATCGACCAAGTTTTTTTTAACCATGCATGAATATCTTATTCTTACACATGAATGCACACCTAGCTTGAGGGTTTGAAGTTTGCACAGGCCGTCCCACCGTACTCAAATCCGAAGCAAGCCATTATTGAATGCATTAATCATTTCTCACACTCTGCTGGCTGTGCACGTACTTAATTGCAGTGGTTAGACATGTTGAAAGCAATGTTCAAGGAGGCAGAGTGGTCCAGAACCAACACAGTCCCCGCCTTCGATGAATATATAACGAACGCAACCCTTACGATTGGTCTAGGACCATTCCTAGTTCCTGCTCTCTACTTAGTGGGCCATAGGCTTTCGGAAGACGCCGTTAAGGGCACGCAGTTCTGCAGGCTTTTCAATGTGACGGCTCTCGGCTGTCGTTTATTCAATGATATAAGAGGGTTTGAGGTAAACGTTATAACAAACATAACTAACTAACTAACTGACCAATTACCACCAGGTATCACTCTGTACGCCCTTCCTTCCTTTTTCACCTTGCGCTAATGAATTTGCAGAGAGAAGCTGAACAAGGGAAAGTGAATGCAGTGTCACTGCAGTCGATTGATCAGAACAATAATGCAGAACAAGTCATCAAACAGACTGAAATCTGGATAAAGAATCTCAACCGAGAAGTGCTGAGGATGTCAATGGATGAAAAAGACTATGGTGTTCCTGACGCAGTTAGGGATGTGTTCTGGAAGTTTGTAAAAGGGTTATACTTGTTCTATGCCAAGGAAGACCTGTACTTCAACAGCACAAAGCTGATCAAGGTCGTGGAATCTATCATCAAGGAGCCCTTGAATCCACCCATTGCGACCTAGAGGCTAAGTTTGCAATGACTTGAGGAGCCCTTGAATCTACACATCAGTCTTTATACGTACATCTGGTAGAAACCCGGTTTCTAACTATTTTGGGGTTTTGGCTTATTTGTCGGTGTATTATTGTTTTGAGGACCTTGGGTTTATTTGTGGGTATTTTCGGAGTATTGGGGGTATTATCGGTTATTGGGTGAGTATTGGGTAGTTACAGGAAATTTATCCAACTATATATTCTGTAATCGTGGGATTAGAAGGGTAAGCAATTACAAAACAAGAATTTCCTAAACCTAATATCTCTTTTCCTCTCTCTCTCTCTCTCTGTTCGGCCGACCCTCTCCCTCTTTCTCCTTGCTATCGTCGGCCCTCCACCCTAAGAAGGACGACTTCTTCTTCTTTTCTCCCAAACTCCCTTTTCCCAACAGTTCCTCTCTTGTCCCCAAATCCCTAAAACCAGTATTCTGTGATTATCTAGGGATTCCCATATTCAAGAAACCTAGACACACACGCCTAGATCAAGATTTCTAACAGTGTTATTAGAGCCCGGATTGGCGTGGGGTTCGGGTATGATGTCTTCAACAGTAAGCAAAACGCAGAAAACGCAGAAGGAGACCGTGATCGTGAAGGACCACACCAAGCATCAGACGGTGTTGGGTTTCATGAACAAGATCGCGGACAACAAGATGGAGGCTCGCGAACAGCTACAAATGGTTGCAGCGCCCATTGAGGATTTCACCCAACGGATCGGAGAGGAGATGGCTGAGTTTCACGCCATGATGAAGAAGATGCTGGAGAAGATGGTGAAGTAGTGAACCGAGGAGCCACAGCCGCACGAGCCGACGGAGCCGACGGGCCCGACGGCGATGATGCGGGACGATGCGGCGGCCAAGGCAACCGCCAGGACGTCCTGACGTCCACGACGGTGCTAGGCGCCAAGGAGGGCCATGGGGCTGTCGTGGGGAAAACTAGTCGTGCGGGCAAAGGCATCAGCGGGTCCATCCAAGGAGTGGGTCTGCTGCTCAAGCCCACAACCCAAGAAATCGTGGCAGCTCGCAGAAAGGGGAAGGCGGCGGGGTACGAGGAGTCGCCATAAAGGGTACACCCGTACACCTGGGATTCAGATGGGGCGCCATGGGCGAGGAGGATGGATGGGCCATCTAGGCCTAAATCGCGATCGACAGAAAGAGGAGATGATTATGCGAGGCTACGGCGGGAGCTGGGCCAACCCGGGGTCGCCTAGAGCTCGGCTGGGTTGGATCGCTAGCCCGAAACATGACGGGTTGCTATGACACGACCCGTTCTTTTTGAAAACCAAACCACGACTCGTACCCCAAACTGGTTACTCCGGAGCAACCCAAAACGGTTTACAAGTCAAAACCAAAAATCAACAACCACAATGCTAGGATTTTCAAGTGAAATGTCCTAAACACTTGGGCGACCTCAATCCAGAGCAACAAAATATAAAACACAAGCCTTGAGTTTCCTTGTATACTCATTAAGACATGAAACAAAAGACAAATAAAATGGGAGGTCCCATCTCGTTACCGAGATCCAGTTGACATCTTCAGGTTAGCCGCGACTGCTCTCCTCGGGTAATCTCCTCTTGATGGATGCGTTCTCTTCCCCTCTATGCACCTGGTGAGTGAGAATGGGTCAGTCTCGTCGTTACTCCCTAAGGTCTTTGCCCTAAGCCAACTCCTTACTAAACACGTTATTAGGGGAAAGCCTTCCTAGCATGAAAGTCGTTCTCGCTTTCTGCTCTTAAATAACCATTCTTATCAACTCATTTCAACATTAACTCATAAAAGTTCTCGACCTCTATCCTTATCTCAACACAAAACACTAGGACCACCGCGTTACATCTCGCCGTACGGTTGCATACCCAAACCCGCAATGACACTGCGTTACGTTTCGTCGCCCAGTCCATGCCCGTCAACTACTGCGTTACGTCTCGCCGTCTAGTAGTGACCCCAACGTACTCGATCAACTGCTGCGTTACGTCTCGACGTCCGGCAGTGACCCGACCATCTACCACGTCCAGTAGTGGCCCAACCGCTGGGGGTTCCTCTTACCATTAACCAACTATTACAATCATACATCCATATATTCATACATAGCACAACGAGTGCCTCCACCCTTACAGGCGATGGGATGCCTCACACACATATCGCGCATACTAGAAGAATAACAACCATAACTGAATTAAAAGGCATAAACTGAAAGACCTCGACAGAGATTTTACCCCCTTTACACTCACCTGGAAAAGATGAGTCCTCAATTACTTCCTCAAAGAAACCCCTCCTTAGCTGGATTATCTTAGGGAAACCTATTCATAAGAATCCATTTTCTTAGATGACCTTTCTTGATTTAAAACCCCTTTTGAATCACTAGAACCTCCTCTCCTCAAACTCCAATCCTTGAACCTCATTCGAAAGGTCCTTTAACCCCCACTAAAAGTTTCTAAAATTAATCGCTTCAAAAACGTCCATTTTTCTTAATTATTTTAGTCTTGGACGGATTTTCCACCTAGCTATAACCTTCTTAAAAATTCGGATAATAATTTTTCCATGTCCATCATGAGCACTTATACCCTGAAAAATTATCAAACCCTTAAAATCCCCTCAGAAAGATTTTTACTTAATTAAAACAAATATTAGAACAATTTCTAAAAATAGAAAGACATCTCTAAAAATCCCCAGTTTAAAATAAAATCATCTTCTAGACGTCGTTCAATTTATTAAATTGTTAAATTCAGAAAACAACCTTCAGAGAGGCTCGAAACAATTTAAAACATCTAGAAATACGTTTCTGGAAATTCCCAGCAGCTTTAGTGACTAATCAAAATCTGTCACTAAAAGCCTGAACGTCTATTGCTATAACATCAGAATTGCACCCTCACGAAAAATCACCAACTCAATCGATCTAACTCAAAAGGATCGAGATCCCTTACCTCTAGAACGTGCCTAGGCTTAGGTTGGACGACCCGGGAAGGTGATCTCCTTGTTGATAGAACCCTCAACGTCACCTCTAGAACGCGAAAGAGATGGGTTCGAAATCGGGGTCGGGATCGGCTGCCGGCTTCTCCTTTCTTCTTCTCCTTTTTTTTCTCAAACTCGCTCTGGGCTGGGGATTGGGCGGCGGTCACAACTAGCGTCTCGCCTCCTCTTTTCCTTCTCGTTCTTGTTGGGGAAGAATTAGCGGCGGGTACAATTGGAGAAGGGGGTCGGCTGCTGGGAAGTGAGGTTGGGGCGGGGGGTTTCTCTGAAAACAAATTGGGGTGGGGCTGGGGAAATAGAGGGGGGCGAGGGTTGGGCCGCATGTGATTGAGTTTCCAAAGATTGATGGTCGTGGACATGTGGGCTTATGGTTGTATGTGGCTGAGAGGTGGTTTAGAAACCACTCAACACGGGAAGAGTGCAAGGGCACTCTGGCATCCTTTTATCTTAAAGGGGATGCACTACAGTGGTGGGAATGGATGGTGTGGTCTTATGTTGTAGCAGAGACTACGATCACGTGGTCCAGATTTGAGGAGGAGCTCAGGTACCAGTTTGGCAAGGGCGAAGGATGGGCATCAGAGTAGTTGCTAAGCTAAAGCAGACGGGCACGGTTGTAGAATTTCGATCGGAGTTCCTGAAGCTAGGTAATCAGTTCAAGAAAATGGGGGAAGAGACGTTAGTGAGATTTTTCATGGTAGGGCTGCGACCGGAGCTGGCAGCAATGGTCAAGGTTTTTGAACCTGACTCTTTGAGAGTTGTCTTTAAGCTTGCAGGTAACAGAGAGGAGGAGCTAGCCAGCTGGAAGGGAGGCGTCGGGCGCATGACGCAAATGGAGGCATGAGTTCTGGAGTTGTGATTGTGCCGACATCGAGAATGACAAACCTAGTGAGCACAGGGTTTCCACCCGGAGGTCTAATCCCGACTCGCTTGCCACCAAAGGGATTCATGAAAGTGACGCTAGCGGAGATGGAGCAAAAGCGCAAGGAGGGACGTTATTTCAACTACGATGCGCGGTACACAGTGGACCACCAATGTGCTAAGGGGCATCTGATGTTGCTACTAGGCAACTGGGAGGATGAATCAGAGGAGTTGGCGGCTGGAGGTACTAAAGAAGAGAAGGACACTGATAAGAACGAAGGTCAATCTTGAGGGCGAGATTGGTCTTAAGGGGGATGGATTGTTAGAAACCCAGTTTCTAACTATTTTGGGGTTTTGGCTTATTTTTTGGTTTATTATTGTTCTTTGGATTATTTGTGGGTATTTTTTGGATTATTGGGGGTATTATCGATTATTGGGCGAATATTGGGTAGTTATAGGAAATTTATCAGACTATATATTCTGTAATCGGGGGATTAGTAGGGTAAGCAATTACAAAACAAGAATTAACTAAACCTAATATCTCTTTTTTTTCTCTCTCTCTCTCTATTCGACAGAGCCTCACCCTCTTTCTCTTTGTTGTCGTCGGCTGTTAAAATATAGAAGTTTATGTACTTTTATGTAAATAGCCTTTATTTACTATTGTTAGCTACGTGGGAGAGCTAGGGTTTGGCTATGCCTAGTAGTCGGCCATCTATATGTGTCTGGTGGATGCACGAGTCTGTAGTATGATTTTGGTGAATAAGAGAACTAAACGCTTGTGCCGTGGACTACTCTCAGTATTCAAACGTTGGGGAAACCACGTAAATCTCGTGTACTTATTCGTTTAGTTGGTTAGATTTATTAGTGTTTAACTTCGGCCCTCTACCCTAAGGAGGCTGACTTCTTCTTCTTTTCTCCCGAACTCCCTTTTCCAAACTCTTCCTCTCTTTTCCCCAAATCCCTAAAAGCAGTATTCGTGATTATCTAGCGATTCTCATATTCAAGGACCCTAGACGCACACACCTAATTTAAGGTTTCTAACAATATCTTGTGTTGAATATATTTCATAGTTTAGTTTAAAGTTCTACTCTTTCTTAAATCACATTAGCGTCCTGTATACTTGGTGTACACTAATCTTATCGCATGCATGTC